AACATTTCGCGTACTGGTCGCCGTTTTCTCATCTCAGCAACTATTCGTTGGTGGTATACCGGACGGGTTCACTGACGATGATTTTCATCGATACTTTTCACAATTTGGAAATGTTGAGAGATCAATCGTTATGACGGATAAAATGACTGGTCGCTGTCGAGGCTTTGGTTTCGTAACGTATGCGACAACTGGAGAGGTAGAGGTAATAATAATCTCATATAATCGTGCTCCGCGGAGCCGATACTGGAAAAGTTTCCGTCGGGACTCTTATGTGTTCAGAATTGCCTCGCGAACGGGCCACATCAACTGAATGGGAAACATGTCGATGTGAATCGGTCTCAAGATCCTAAGGATGCTCATAAGGGAGGTGGTATCTATCTGGGAATCATCTATAATGTTTCCGGGGAGGAACTCATTTTGAATTTCCCACATGCCTAGGATCACATTCTTCAATCAGTTGGTCACAATAGGAATATTTTTCCGAAACCCTGGGGGACGTTATCTTGAAATTACAGAAGGCCCTAGTCCATGGTTTGGTATTACGTCGATCGCGAAGTGATGACGCGATATAGTATTGTCATGATGGCTCGTTAGCTAGCCGCGCAATCATAGTTAGCATATTACGGCTTATAGTGATGGGTGTTCACTGGTCCTTGTTGTTTGTCGTCAGGCTGGGGCTCCGATAGATCTGGGGGTCCCTCTCGGTACTACTGTCGATTCTCAGTGGAATTCATATAATGCCTCATTCTCGTTAGACGTGGCGGTGGTGGTGATGATCCGAAGAAGGTGTTCTGTGGAGGGCTGCCTCAGGACTGTGATACAGGTTGGTGTCAAACTCGGCAGTGATATCGCCCGATCTATTTCCTTCCAGAACGCCTTCGTCAGCACTTTTCCCAGTACGGCAACATCGTCGACTGCATAGCTATGTAAGTGGAGTAATGGAGTTCTCCACACATGAGAACTATGTGTTCGATTTTCATAGTCCGAAGCGAGAAAATGTTGTAACCTCGCTAATTCGACTATCAGGAATCTGAAACCTCGAACATTTCGAAATCTATAAGTAAGCAATATGTTAATATGTATATGTTAGGCGGGATCGAGATACTGGTCGGTCGAAGGGTTATGGTTTCGTCACCTTCGATTCGGAAGATGCTGTCAATGCGGCTATAAATGGGGATAATACGATCGATGGGCGATGGGTAATAACACCTAGTCAAGTATACGTGCATAGTGGATTCTCCTCAGGTCGAGGTTAGGAACTCTCAGCGGTTCGGGGGCTCGGATGGGAGTAGTCAAGGAAAGGGCCGGGGCTGGGGGGTAGTACTTTGCTACTCGTAGAACTGCCAAGTTTTATACACATGTACAGTCGTTTGAATCGCAAGGCTACGGTGATGCCTATAGTCAAGCGGCGGCGGCGGCCATGCAGCAGGGATGGGCTGGGATGGCGGCTCAACAGGCGTACTGAGCAGTACTAGGAGATTCGGGGATGCTTCTATTCAGAGCATACTATCCTTACGCGGCCTACTACGGTAGTTACCAGGCTGGTCAACAGGGAGGTCAAGCTGCTCAGATGGATCCGTGAGGCTCCCTACGATTTGTCAAAGTTATGGTATTACAAGCCATGCACAGTTACGCTGCCTATTATGCTGCAATGGCTGCTGCAGCAAATCAGCAACAACAACAGCCGGTTGCGGCAGCGTCACAAGAAACGCCACAACAACAGCCTCAGCAGTCGTACCCATCAGGAGGAGGTATAGTCACTCAAGTTTGGACTGGGTCTATAATTTCATATCACAGGTGCGAGTATGAGCGCTGATGCGGGACGTTCTAATCCGTATTAGCTACCTTGACACTCGTACTATAGACAGAGCGTAGTAGTTGAGTAACTGCGAGTGTTTGGTAGCTTCCGTTTCGAGGCTAAGGTCATCATCCAGTTGAACATATGTCATAGGCAACTTATCACACACTATTACTTGTTTTGTGTTGTACTGTGGGAGGTTGTACTTGGGTGGGGAGGTGGCGGACCATCGTTACAACACAAATGCTGTATTATCACGATGATTGTGTTCCTCGTGGATTTGACATTTGATAGAATGCTTACCCGAATCATCTCTTATCACGTCCCTTCTCAGTGGAAAGAGATTTTTGAAACTCCTAAATTAAGCGTTTCGATGTGTGTGTCAATCAGCAGCCTCTACCTCCAAATGATCGTCTGAACGACATCATTAATGTCGACATTTCTCGCATTTTTCAATCTGTCATTCTCTTGGTGGGAAAGCCATCGAGCCACCCCCAACGAGTGATAGAAAATCATTCGACGATCATTCAAGGAGATACGGTGATTGCTGCAGGAGAAACATTTAATCCTACGACTTCTCAACCCTCGATAGTTATCAATGCGTCCTTCGAGAAGTTGTTTCTTGCGTTTCCCTGAGAGATTGTGATTCTACGTGGCGAGAAATGGAAAATAAATTATCGCTAATACGTACATGAACGACTCAATAAGTCTCGAAGTGCTATTCGACGATTCGCTCGTTTTACGAGTGGCGGGCTCCCTTTTCGCATCAAGGTAAATCCGTGACCGAACAGAACTCAAGGCCGCGGATTCTCATCATGATTTCAATCATTGTCACTGATGCGCTGTCGAGCGTAGTCGATCTACATGTCTAACAGAAAGTTGACCTTAACGATCACTAACGGAAACAGAACGTACGATACGGTAATGTCTGCTCTAAAACTAAGGCTCTGGACGATGCCGAGACTGTATTAGTAATACACGGAAATAATAGATTGAGAAAAAAGTCGCATGCACTAGGCCACGTAACGGGCATCACTATGCAATACGGAGATCGCAAGTAAAATTGTGAAGACCAGTCACTACAGGACGTATTAAAGCTGCTCTAGGATAATGACCAGAAACAGTGTTCTAGACGGTTCCCATATATCATCAATGAACCACTGGGCAGACTGAGGAACCTCCCCTGGTGTTGACGAATTTGGGAGGAACACTGACAGGAGTGCCTGTCTGAAACGCTCTCATCGGGCATTTACCACCACTTTCATCACCGGGGCGTGCTTCAGTGAAGGGACCGTAAACACCCATAAATGCGCATAGACCATGAATATAGTCCCTTACAAAACCAAGGGGCATACGGAAATCTTCGCATGCCTTAAGTTGCATGAGTAACCAACGATTGCGCTGGTTCCAAGTGAAACCATCACCAATGAACCCAGCCTCTGCAGGAGCATTGGTTCTTAGAGGGCAATGCTGGGCTTTCTTGTGAGAAGCGTTGACCTTACGAATTGATGGACCTTCTTTGTCATCACCGACAGCATAGAAGAACCATCGACAGAAGAGTTCGTGATGGGGCACGGTCTTATCGCTGTATAGAACCCCGAGAATTGGGTCGGCAAAAGACATATCATAGAAGTGTTTGACCAGGGCCAGAATATTCCCCCTGCCACCAGCAAGGTCTACCAGGTCGGCAGGGAAGAGCTGCATCCTCAGAAAAACACGAACTGAAGTATCGAGAAATGAAGACGAGTAATCACCAGATTGAGTTTGAAACTCATCATTCGAATTTGATGGCGGACTGAGAGGGACGCTTCAATACTGTCCATCCTAGAATTGAAGACTCCATGATCAACAGATACTCAGGACTGAGTGCTCCAATGTCAACACGCACTTGCGCACAGGCGAGAATCTTGCACGCACGCGCAAAAGTACAAAATAATGGGGATGATTTGATGAGTATCCCTCCCACGAATCGATCCTAATACCTTTCGATGGATATCTCATCGTTCTACCTTCGAACTATTCGAACTCATGCGGATTGTCCACGTGTCGGGGCAAGGGATCATGAGATATATGACGCGGAACATGTTTTATCATCCAAGGTTTGGGGACACCTTTGTTTTGCTAGAAAAGGTCGAAAATGAGAAGATATTCTCAGGCTCTAACTAGTCAGACGAACGGGCGGTGCGGTGACGATACTTGAGGGGGTACAAAATGCACAGTCAACGGAATGATGATGATGAGTGGCCAACAATAGAACAACGTAAGGTATACTATGGAAACAATCGAGGGTAGGATGCCATATAGTCAAGCATTAGTTCGGATGAGTTCATGGTAGTCGGGTATCAGAGTCGAATCACGGCGTGTAGTGATTTGTAGTTAGCCAAGTTGATTTTTTTCGGTTGTGTTGTTGCCAATTCAACCATCACGTCGGTGAGTAGCAGATGTTCTACGCCTTTTCAACCTTCATTTTAGCATTAAAAACTTTAATTTCACCAGGTAGGCGAGTCCGTGCACCAAGATAGTTTCATAGAACCTTCAGTTTCGGCGTTGCACGGTTTTGAGAACGTCAATTTCGACAGCGTGCCGATTTGGAAACTTCAATTCCGTCGACACAGATAAGAGACTTCGATCTCGATGAAATAATACTTCCTATTCCGTACGTAGAAACATCAACGTGAACGTGACGGTAGAATATGAGCAGTTTTTAATTATATAGTTGAATGGCATTGAACCCAGAGAAGATCCGGCAGCGATTCGAGAAGGCCGTAGACCTCGTGCAGAAGACCCAAGCTGGTAACGTTGCGTTTGAGAACAACTGTGAGCAGGCGTTCGGAGAGTTCAGAATAGCAACGCTGCACAGCAAGAGGGTGCCTCATCTGCTGGATGATGTCACACTGAAGGATGATGTAATAATAGGAGGTCGAGGAGATCATCAGTTTTGGATTCTCTACATCACATGTCCTTCGAAGTGTGTGCTAATACGTGGTATTACTTTAACCCCAACTACAACGCGCGTATAACCGTTCATTCTCAGCAACTATTGATTTCTATTCTTTATCAATTTATAACTCTGTGATTGGGGTGGGAAGTGCGCCAGGGGACGCCTCGCACATAAGAACTGTTTTGTTTCTTGCTCCTACAGATATGGGAGTTCCTACTAAAAGTATCAGAGACTAGATTGCCATACCATCAGCGTGTCGATGAAGTAGTGGATATACTACTGGGCTCACAACCATGGATGGAGGCATTTGCTAAGAATCCTCAACTAGTGCGGAGCAGAAGTCGACTCCCAGAAGAGGTGCTCCACCCTCCATCTCGTGAGTGCACGCATGTCGGCCTTTCCAGATACGCCCTGCATTCGACAATCGACTGCAGGACTTCGTTGAACTCAATGATGTTCGCCAATATCGACTTCTACTCGAGGCGACTACAGAGAATGGACTGCTCGAAATGGCTGTAAAGGCCTTCAACAAGCAGTACTGTGGCACAACTCTATCGATATCAGACGCTGACAAGTATAACTGTGTTGTCCTACCATCCGCTTCCTACGACAAGGCCGAGGAGCATCTTAAGAAGGGCAAGGACGTCCTTCTGCTGGGAAGGCTCCCAGAGAGCACACTGCAGTTGGAGACTCTGGCCAGGTTCGCAGAAGAGTACCCTAAACCCAAACTGGTGGCCGCATACCCCGAGGATGCTATCCACTCATTGCAGCCTATCACGAATATAAAGTCCCTCTTTATATCCTTCGGACCGACTGTGAGCAAACTGCAAAGCCTGAGGATCATCAAGAAGATCACTGCCAATGGTGCCGTGTCTCAATCCTCTATAGTGGGCTCGGATGGAGCCAAGACAGTAGCATGTACTCTGTCGAGCGGCGCAGCTGTCTGTGCACGATGGACCCCCTCAAATAAGGATCTATTCTGTAGTGGTGACGCTGTTACTGATAACGCTGTGGTCCCGATACGATTGGTGAAGCAAGACCCTGTGAGCATCCTGACGAGAACGCTGGCTAGGATGTGCGATATGGAAAAGGAAGCAGAGTCATTCAACTGGCAAGCTGA